TAATACTCCAAACCATTAGTTCTTAATTTTCTTTGATTGGATATCATGATTGGAATAAGCTTTTTCGTTTTTTATGTGTAATGAACACTGGAAACCGAGCCTTCGACCAATTAAGCCAGTTCTGCTGCCAGTCAAGCTTGTTGCATCTGTTCCCTTTGGATGGAAAGCGAAGCCCGGAAAACCACTTCCATGTTTCTCACAGTTATAACCGAAATCAGAACCTGCACCACCACAGACAATGAGCATCGGCTTCCCATCACCTCCAAGTTTCTCAGACAGCCAAGATGAAGATTGGGGTGGCAGTGAGGGAGACATTGAAGATAACAGAATGGAGAAAACTGGTGGAGCTGTGGTGTGGTGGAACAAACAAAGATGTGCTATGTAAAAAATGAAAAAGTTAACAGTGTGTCTATATATGAGATTTTACTTGTGGCCATGTTTGTAAATATGAAAGATTTTTAACACTGGTGTGTAAAAAATAAAAGTCTTTGTGGCAATATAATCATCATTGGTTAAACATTTCTAGTACTGTGAAGCCCATTTTACCATTAAAATTGAGAACTTGTGAGCCATGTAAAATTTTAAGAGTCAAGTTGAATAGAAATTGTTGACCTCCAATCTGGGTCGCACAACACAATGAACAAATCCCAACTCCTCTCCCTCCACTTACCAACACATTAGGACACATGCATTAGAGGTGCTAACTATGGCTTCCAAACAAAGGGGATGCCACAATCATATTCATTCCGACGCTCAAGTCAAATATCAAACACTAAACTTGAGAGTCCAGATTATATTTCTAGAGTGAGCATTACCAATTTCTGCTTACCTTTTGGGTCCTGCTTGACACTCATTCTCATTTTTTCTTTCTTTTCTTCATTTCAATTATGCATTCTCCAAAGAAAATAATATTACATAAAAATCTAAAAACATTCATTATTTTTCAACAACACATTCTTCCATCAATCATTATTCCATAATTTATTTTTTTTTCCAAAATGAGTGTCGAACACAGGCTTAGTGTATGTTTGAGTCACGTTATTTTAGAATAATGTATTTTGAAATAGTTGATTGATGGAAAATGAGTGGTTGAACAAAAAGGAAAATTTATTGATGTTATGAAAAATATTATTTTATTGAAAAATGTGTGGTTGAAAATAATTTGTACCAAACAAGGACTTAATGCAAACAGGTGAGTGGAAGAGACAGTTAGGATGAGGTTGTTACCCAAATCTAATTGCTCACCAATCAAGTCATAGGATGTCAATCGCTTAGAGACATAGTTCTGCAGCCTTTCACTCTGCCCAAGAATAAAATCATGATGTGACACCACTTTTGTAGGTATGTAAAATTAGTCAATTTTGCACACTTTCCCAAGTGTCAAATTATACAACTAGCATAAGACATCAAGGCTCAACATCAGCCACCTCGGAGCAAAGAGGGACATTTCACATAGCCAAGGGTTGGGCCTCTTCTCGACACCTTGGATTGAAGAGGAGGCAAAGAAATTATAAGTTTCATTGAAGAGGCTTAAAGATGCATTGCCCTAGAGAGGCATCACCCCGACGAAGACCGAAGAGGCTTAAAGGTTTGGGGGAACAAATTGCTACAAGCAGTGTTCTAAAAGACGCACATAGAAGTAAGGCGAAATCAAAATACCAAGCCTAATGAGTTAGCGTCTTATTTGGCGGTCAACGACAGTTGTTGACCGCTAATGCGCGCCTTTTTTCTTTTTACACAATTCTTTTGAAATTAAAAATTAAATGTTAATTTTTTCAGTTTGCCCTAATTTAAAATTAAAACAACCATTTGAACCCAAAAGTTAAGTAACCAACGAATCTTATTTACGGTGGATAATTTCTTACTATTTACTTACTATTTTGTATTTAAATTTGAAACTTATATTTTTGTTGAAAACTTTGAAAAACTGTATAAAGTTCTATAAATCTGTTTTAAATGTTTAGTAAGTATTATTTTTAATTGATTAAAAATTAAAATAATATTAAAATAAGAAAACGTATTTTCTCTAGACGTAATAATAACACTAAAATGAATAATGATTGATAGAGGAAACGCATTTTCACCTAAGCTAGCCTAACCCTAAAATAAGAAAACGCATTTTCGCCTAAGCTAGCCTAACCCTGGACTTGGCCTCCACGCATTACGCCTTTTAGAACACTGACTACAAGTGCTATGGGTGAGGAGTATTTCCACATTTTTCTCTAGACGTAATAATAACACTAAAATGAATAATAAAAAAGAATTGAGTAGCGTTATTTAGTCTCAGTGATGCTAAGCACTAATGTATGTGACACCAGAGTCCAATGCCTATAATACATCGATTGGTTCTTAGCACTATTGAGGTAAATAAAAATATTTAAAAAATCCATATAGGAGCTGGTACTGCTTTTCACCATTCAGCAAACTGGATGTTGATATTTTTTCCGTCTGACGATGTTTCAACACCTATCAGTCGAGATTGGCCCTCTTACGAAACCAAAGCTGATTGGGACTACCTACCATGATATAAATATGATTACATGTTTAACTTAAAGTTGAAACCAGGAGATTCTTAAAACAAATTGGAGGGCTGCACTGAAAATGGGTCCTGCGTGCTATATTGATATCTTTGTCCTAATTAATTGAATTTTGCCATTTAGTGAGAAGTAAGTAGATTCAAACAAGACTGTCCATCTCATCTACGCGAGGTTCAAGAACAATTTTGGGACCACTTTCACGTGCCACTTGCAGTGGATCTTGTACTTTTCTTACTCTTAAGCCCTTCTAAATTTCTCATGGCCAAAACTCACAATTGGATCTTCAAATATTAAGCCATTCTTGAAAGAAAACAAGCTCGAAATTGTTAATGGGTATATTTGTTCTTTCATGTTCCCAAAAATGTTTGAACAGGATAGTTCAAGAATTTGTTGAACCATAATAGTTTAAGTTGGTGGTGAGGTGAAAAAGCAAAAGCTTTTCCATCCCACTATTTCCGAGTGCAGAAATAGTTACTACCTGAGCCACACTACGATTTTTTACCAATAGTTATATAAATGTATGTTTCACTTTGATCGTATTCATTGAGAATTAAATTTGTGTCTTGCTTAACTACTATATCAATTGATGGCTTGAGAATGATAATGCCTATTACTACTTGTTTAACACGCTCCATCACGTTTAGATTGGATTCTTTATTTCTTTAGATACTTGAAATATGCACAGTTTCAATCAATAAAAAAGATATGTAGAACTCCAAGTCTTAATAAGGTATCAGAGTCCATTAATCTCCAACGAGTAATTAGATATGATCAAAACTCAAAAAATTAGCAAGCAAATTTTAAGATTGATTTGCTCAAATAAGCCACCATCTTGCAGGATATGTTAACGAATAAAATCTCACATTGAATAATTATTAAAACATAGAACAATTTATAAGGGTTTGAACTACTACTCTTAATAAAGTTGACCTTTTAAGATGGAACCAAATCTTAATACCAAGAAGAAAGTAGAAACTTGTACTCCCAAAAAAATTCTTCTTTTGGACTGCTGCCATCTGAACTGAAATCTAACTCTGCATCTGGTGCAGTAACAATCAAAGCAAAAGGTGGAAGAAATAAATACATAAAGATGCTGTTTACAACAAAACATGGAATAATAACTCAATCCAAACATTCATACAATGTGGCATCCTGAATCAAGAATGGCACAATCTAAATAGTTTTAGTGACAAAAAAAATGTAGAAAACAGAAGGAAGACTTAATTCTCTAGCATATTCCTATAACATGAACTGATAAGTGCATTTTTGTGCACTTATTAAGGCCATATTATTAAGGTTTTATATCATTTTATTATTGCATTTTACTTAGTTTAGGAAGCTGTCTGGAGCAGCTTCTTTTTCAATTACCAGCCAAAATATATCCGTTGAAATTGGTCAGCCAGTCCCATAGGTGAAAGAGTGAGTCAAAAATGTCAGGCCATAACGATAAAAAAATGAATTTCTCACCCCCAAAAATGGTGCCCAGACAGGGCATAGGTTAATTTTATCTTATTTCAGTTTTAAACTCATTTCTAAACAATTGGAAAAGAAATAAGGATAAATTGGCCATATTCTTTTTGTTTTCTCTTTCATAACATGCTAAGTTAGTTTTCTATGTATTAGGAGAACGATGAACCATGTAATATGAGTTTTAATGTTTAATTTTATATGTTTGACATTAAAAACACATTTTTGGATATTGAATAATTTATATGATTTTTTTCTCCACAATTATTGTGCACGTTAGTTGTGTGTATTTAATGGCCTATTTTATGCATTCAAAGGAAAGAAAATGATTCGACATATATAAATTGTCATAGAGTTCGATAGGGAATAAAAATATACCGATATACCTTATGTGAATTTTTAAGTGTTCATAAAAATTCATACACTTTTATATGTTCGTACCCATCATAGAAATATAGTTACGTCATACATAAACGTAGGTATAACATTATTTGAGAGACATTGTTAAATAATCTTGGAACATTGAATCGTCAAATTCAATCGTGTTGTCAATGTGTAAAATTAAGATTAAAACTGATTATTGAATGGGAATTCAGGATCTTAATGTGTTTGTCATTCATTAAAACAATTAACTTGCTTTCAACATAATTTACATTTAATTTAGTTAATTCATTCATAATTGCATAAGTATGTTAAGTTATATATAATTCAGTTATAAACACATCATATTATCCTTGTTTCGGTTAAGGTCGGGAATATTTAAAATTGAACTAATCAATCTCTATGAAACGATACTTGGACTCAAAATCCACTTTATTACTTGTTAAGGAACCGTACACTTGTGGTGATTTTAATTCGAAATATATTTTCGTGAACATGAACCATAATTCAAGAAAGTTACTCGACTCGAATGTATAATACTGGACATCATATTGTAGCTAAAATATGACGTATTGTCCAATAGCGTGTACCCAAAGTGTTGGTTTACACGAAATATCACCTATGGCACACACATTTGTAGTGGTACGGACTGTTCATTGGGTCATTCCCTTCGACTGGAACTTGCTCGGCTCTGCACTTGTACTTGCACCCTTTGCATTCATTATACGTGCAAGTAGGCGCCACTGATCCAATCAATGATCTTCTTGAATATAAATCCTACATGTTTAACTATAATGGATAAATTAACTTGTTTCAGAGGACATCTCATTCAACATTGGAATAATGTTTATGCATGATTTTCTATAACCTTCAAGTTTACCTCTCCTGCTGATGATAAACTATGATAGCCTCTTTGATGATGTGGAAATTGCATTTGAATTCTGGACCCTGTGGCACCTAAAATGGTTTGAATAACGACACAAACACAAGTAGTTTAGTTCCATAGACAAAAATATTATACAACTTATAGCATTTGGAAGGAATTACATGCAGTAAGAGTCTGGTCACTTATATATCTTATTTGCACAATCTTGACAAGTTTGGTATGCTGGACTATTAGACAAGACTACTAACAAATTTTGTCATGTGCTTCGTTTTTTTTTTATCCTATTCAATGCAACCAAGTCGAGCACATCAGACATACTCTCCATATCCTATTTGGATTAGCTTATCAAAGTTTTGTTGTCTTCATCTTCATTTAACTTGACAAGCATGTATTTGACGAATTACATTAGAAAAGAGTTGCACTGAATTAAGTAAACAAGGGCATTTAAAAACACAAATTAATCGAGAAAGCTGGCTACTAATTATGTCTGAAGATGACCTTGCATAAATAATGCAGCACAAGACAACTAGACTAGGAGCTGATGATGAGGTAGTGATTATTATTATCTTCTTAGGATAGAAATTAATGGAACAATGTGCTAAATTCATGTAGCAACACAAAATTTATTGGGCATATGGCTAGTTTTCTGTTATATAAGGGAAAAGAAGAAAAGGAAGGCACAAACTATTAAAAAAAAAAATTAACGATGATACAAATTAAACACACTAAGCAAATAGAGAAACTCAGAGGCCTATAGCTATTCCAGAAGATGACCTTGTACAAGTAATGCTTCAGAAAACAAGTAGACGAAGTGCAAATAAAATTCGAGGTGTTTAATTTTATTGGCTATTATATTCTTAGTAAAGAAATGAACCCAACGAAGTATGAAAATGATCACTTGGTGGCATGAATTTTTGGGAATACCTTGTACAAGTAATGCTGCAGAAAACAAATAGAGGAGAAGCAGACAAATTTTGGGATGCTTAGAAATATTGGCCATTATCTTTCTAGTATTGAGATAAGTTTTGTTGAAGAAGAATATGGTGGAAGGATGCGAATAATAATAGATGATATATAGAGAGGCAGGGAGTGGAAGAACTAGATTGTGGATGAATAAGGACCGTAAGAAGATAGACTGGCGACATATGCAGCAAACCAAAGAGGTCCCCAACTGACAAAGTTCAAATTTTTTGCATGCCAACTCAAGATTTATTCCAATAAATATAAAAAAATACCACTTGCTTTTCTATCATTGTTTTACTCTATATCACTCTACGGGCATCTTTTTGGTGCATATTAAACTAGAAATAAAATTTGCGGATGGTCATCGAACTAGCAGCAACTGGTCACAAACTCATAATTTGGGTAAATGTAAGTCAAGCTGCCCATTCTCACTAGTAAAATTAGGAGGTAAGTATAAAGTGGCTGCTATCCTTAACAGCATGCTGGTGTGTTAATCAACGTGGAAGTGTGTGACTTCATTGAACAATAACAACAATAATAATAGCCCAATTCAGATTTCTTTCAAGTCTAGTGAACATTTATTTTGACAATTTAATTAATTGATACATAGTTTCATATTGATCCAAATTAACTGAATTTTATGTTTAGTGGCGCGGGGATTATGTGGTTGGAAATGAAGTTTAATAATTTATAAATTGATTTAGAATACAGAGGCTTAGCATTTCCTATCACTTATTAGTTTTACTCATTTTAATCCATCGAATTTATTAGTATAAAGTATTTATGTACAATTAATAAAAATTTAACATTTTTTTTTTCCTTCATTAGTACGATCAAACAACTCAATTTTTATCTTATGAGACAAGCCCTGTACATCTTCCAAAAGTTAAAATCGGGATGTGGCCCCTCTCTCTCTCTGTCTCTGCCAAGAACAGTATAGATGTGTGTGAAAAAGTTCCTGGAAGAATCAAGAATGTCCAGACCAACTCATTGGACTGAAATATTCTTCTACTCATTTTGGAAAGAAGAGCTAGAGCATAAGAAATAACAAGGATAAGATAAAACATTGTGGGAAAAGAGAGAGATGACATCATCAAGTAAAGTTTAGATCTACTCTTTTGGTTTGCCATCTAGAAATTAAAATTTTGACACTTCATTTTGATTCTGATACCCTCAAATTGTTGAGTGTCAAATTTTGGAAGTGGGACAACTAAGAAAAAAAATCAATGTGAACTTGACAATGGATTACAAAATTATAATTACTAGGATTAATAGGGACTCATTTTTGCATTTAGTGCACCAGGAACTCGTGAGAATAATTCACTAAACCAATGCTTATTTAAGTAAATATCTTCTTCAATATGTGTCGTTTTACATATATTATATTTATCTAAAGGCGTGTAGTAATGGAGACAATTATTCTATCTATTTTGATATTAAAAATTAGATACGTCACACTTTTTCATAAATGAATAACGACCAGATTTAAAATTAGATTTTATGTTTGGCTCATATTTCATCTAACTTTCATCACATTATACGACGAACTATGGTGTCTATGTGCTAGCACTCAATAAGTCCTGAACCGTTGCAAAAGAAAATTTATTAAATATTTTTCATAATTCAAATAATTTCAAATTAACAATAAATTAACACTAAATATTTCTTTAGATTGGCCCACAAATAAAGACCACCCAAGCAGAAATAAAGACAAGTGACATTTCCAGCAAGATACTGGAAAAGATATCGAACAATGTAGAAAGAAATTATTAAAATGGTAACTATGAAATATTTTTTAAATAACAAGTTAGAGACTTCTCAAAATATTATGATGACTCAAAGTAGAAACAAACAAGGTTCTTATTTCTTAATATGAAGAGTCAATAATTTCTCTGATTATTTTATTCTCTTCGAATTATAAATGGGCCTACAAATATAAAATTCCCAATTAAACATTGAAACCCCTCTAAAATAGAAAGATAATGAAGTAGTGTTTAAATATATACATGACTTTTTTTTTTTCTTTTTTTAACTTTTTTCTTCCTTAATCCTAGACAATTCATACTATATAACATGTTAAAACTATAGAGTGGACCATCTCGTGTTTCCTTGATTACGGGTATTGGACTTTGTTGGGAAAAATGTATGAGACGTGTTTTCTTATTTATTAAAATTGATTTTCTTAATTTATCTAAGAGAAATTTTAAAAATACACCTTGCATTTATGGTGTATTTACAGATTATATACCATATTTTGCAAGTTTTCATTTTGTCTTTGTTTATCCCTCATTTCTTAAAACTTTTTTTTCTCAATTTTATTTTCAATCACATATTTCATAAGATTTACAACTTTTATTAATTTTTCAATCACACATATAAATGTGAACCGGCCAGCTCAAATATCGTTTTTGAGTTACTTTAATAGGGATTTTTAAAATAGTCAACCAATTTTGATGGATAATAAGATTGTGAAAGTTTTTCAAAAGAATAAAATTACATATATAGACCTTAGTGAAATTTTCAGTATAAAATTTCTTGTATGAATTTTTTTACTCATAAGTAATAATTTATTTATAAACAATTTTTTATATATAAGTTAATATTTGACTTCAAAATTAAATATTTACTTGAAATGTTAATGTTTTACCTTTAAATAATTTTTCCACATAAATGAGTTTTTTACTTATTAATAACTTTTTATATTTTATAAGTGAATTTTTGTCATATTAATATTATTTTTACTTTATAAAAAAAATTACTCAAAAGTAATATTTTATCTTATAAGTGATTTTTTACTTATAATAAACTTTTTAATTATAATTTTTTTTTGTGCTTATAAATATTTTTTTAGTTCATGTATTATTATTATATACAAGTTTTTCTTGAATGAAATATATTATATGGGAATAACTATTTTAGGGAGCCGCTATATATATCCACTTTTTTTTAAAAAAAAAAATTATATTATATTTTTAATTTTATGTACATTTACTTAAATAGTCGTATGTAAAATTAAATTCATCCGCTAACATTTATTTCATTACATTTTTTTGGATCATTTTATATTGTTTTAGAATTTATGTTAACTAAAACCCTAATAGTCATAAAATATCCTCTTAAATTAAAGCCATAACAACAATGGAAGAAACGCCATTAAAACAAATACATACGGACATAGCAATATATGAAGAAGACTTAAGAAAATGTAAGGATTATCTTTCATTGTGGGGTTGATAAATTTAGTATGTGAAGAATTCTTGATTTGTGTTTGGATTATTTGATAATGTGCTTTTTGAATTCAAATAGTATCAGTAAAAAAATTCATTCCTAAGTGTTTGAATTTTCTATTAGGATTATCTTTTCTTTTCATGATTTTCTTTTTCAGTTTGGAATATATCTAAGAATTTTCTGATCTTTGTCTAGTATTTCATGTGTAGTCAACAGATTCGTGATCAATATTTATCCTTCATCATGTCTCAATTCAATTTCTACACGTCAATATCTTATCTAGAAGTGAGAAAAAATTAAACAAGTTCAATATTGTAACATACTAGATGAAGCAACAAAGTTGGGCATCTCATTATGTAAATCTCAATTTATTCATAATATCAATTATCTCTTTTATAATCATTATTCAAGTCGTATCTTCCTTTGATATAATTGATTTATTTATTTAATCATAATAATACTCTTACTTTATGCATGCGGTAGGGCTGATGCTGCACATTCAAAACTTAAGAGGCAATTAGGGTCTTCCCAAGGTAATTTTAACTCATCATGGACAATAATGCATGTATTATTGGAGCTACAACATACATATATTAAAGCTTCACTTGAAGCGAGTTTGGGTACTTTCCAACATAATTTCAAGTTTATCTTGTTTCAAGAGCTAAGGGGATTTACATCAAGAATTGCAATGAGTTTGATACTTCAAGAGTCCAAGCGAGTTGATGACATAGGAATTTGATATCTTGTTTAAATAATATGGATTTTCCCTAGTTAGATGGTCATATTCTAGTGTCATTGTCTTTTGTTTCGATTTATTTTGAATGTACTTTTTTTTAAAATTTACTTATTCTTATTTCATCTTCTTTTTTTTTAGTCTAGTTTCATTGTGCACTTTAGTGGTACAATTTGTAAGAGATGGAGAATGGCATCTTTCTAATGGTACTATAACAATTGTTTTTGAGGAACTTCATATTATAAATATATTCAAATTGCATAGATGTCAACTTGATTGTCCATGAGTTAAAGTCAATAAATAATTTTAATCGCATATTTCATAAGTCTCACAACTTTTTATCAGTAACTTTGATAAAATTTTATCAAAATATATTAAAAGTCTAATTTTCATTCCCACAAAACAGGAGCATAATTTTTTTGGAATACTAGTTCTAGTGTTTGATGTTCCACATAAGGCAAGCACAGAAAGAAGACTTGTTTTTCAATATTTTATGGAGAATTGCCTCTTTTTCTTGTTTTTATGGTGGTCGGCAAATGCCAATGTTTTCCCTTTTAGTGGAATAAATGCTACAAGTCCTTCAAATTATTGTGTTTGATTTCAATAAAATAATAGAGATAGATTTAGAATATGATAGATATATAAAAATGGTGTAGATGTATAGTGTTTAAATAAATAAATTTAATAAGGATAATATTGGAATGTCATGTAGATGAAAATAGTATTTTTATTTTATTTTAATAGGGATAGATAGAGAGTGTGATACAATGATTGATATAAATAGCGGCTATAGAGGATAGAACTAAAAGAGAATATGAAAAAGGTCAAAACCCGCCTATTTAGTTATGTGGTTTTAAAACTGTCAAAAATCGGTGTCCAAAAAAACCAGCAAACACCTATTTTCTCATCTCTGGTAAAAAGATTGTTGATGTATAAATTGATAGCTAGTTAATTTAGTCATTTAGATTGGTAGATAGGAAGTTAGTTTAGACATTTCATTCTCAATTTTTCTCTATAAATGTTGTGCATTCCATCCGATTTCAGTAGTTAGAAATAATAACAGATTTTCCCTCCCA